TGTAGGGCCTTCCTACCCTCCAGCAGATCAACACTTCCACCCAACTTGGTGTCATCTGCAAACTTACTGAGGGTGCATTCAGTCCCCTCATCCAGATCATCAATGAAGATATTGAACAGGACTGGCCCCAATACTGAGCCCTGGGGAACACCACTTGTGACTGGTCACCAACTGGATTTGACTCCGTTAACCACCACTCTCTGGGCTCGTCTGTCCAGCCAATTTTTAACCCAGCGCAGAGTGCGCTTATCCAAGCCGTGAGCAGCCAGCTTCTCCAGGAGAATGCTGTGGGAGACAGTGTCAAAGGCCTTACTAAAGTCCAAGTAGACAACATCCACAGCCTTCTTATCCACTAAGCAGGTTTCCTTGTCATAGAAGGAGACCAGGTTAGTGAAGCAGGACCTCCCTTTCATGAACCCATGCTGGCTGAGCCTGAACCCTCGGTTGTCCCGCATGCAACGCATAATGGCACTCAAGATGATCTGCTCCATCACCTTTCCCGGCACTGAGGTCACGCTGACAGGCCTGTAGTTGTTGCGTTTCCTCTGTGGAGCATGTGCAACAGACCTGTTTGTTGTACAGCCCATCTTAAAAAACTGTTCTGGACCTTCTGTGTTTCTTTTGTTTCAGTTCCAATACTTTAAATTAGCCTTGGAGATCTGTTGTGGACCATTTACTGGTGGTCTAGTAATTGAAAGTCAGACTGTCATACTGGTGTACTTAGCAAGCGCTGACAGAACGTAACAACTGGGGCTGGTCTGCATTGCTGTAGGACTCCATGTATAATCTGTCCTGGAAGGTCCTTGCTCCTCTCCTTTTGAACACTTAAATGCATAGATGACATGAACTTGAGGGGAGAAAAATGCATAAAAGGATAAAGAAGCAATTATTAAGATACTATGCTTGAGTAAATTGGAAAAGCATTTTTATAAATTAGGCAAAATCCCTTAAAATGGAATAAAAAGAAAAACAGAGGAGTTTATTCGATAATAGTAAATTATACAGTAGATTTTTCATGTATAAAACTATTTTTAAGGTTAGTATTGATAATGGAAATGATTGCTGGCAACACTGTTACCCTATAGACTCTTGTATTTTGTGCTTGTGGTTAGCTAAGATAAAATGTTTACTGTACAGCCATATGAACCAAAGTTGATTTCAGCAAGCAGGCTGAATCAATGGGGAGTAGCCTGGCTTGGTTGAGCCTTGTTAATGGTAAAGGAACCTGGTTTCCTTGGCAGGACAGGGGCTAAAGTTGAATGTAGATTGAGTGTTTTGGCTTAGAGTTTCCTTTTCTGGGTTTACGCCTCTCGCATACTGTTCGGATATAGACTCACATCAGCCTGTGTGCCTCACGAAAATAATTCTGCAATGGATTTCTCAGTTACTCCCTCTTTCCTGTGCAGGTCCTGAACATCTGCCCTCTACCACCCCTGGGGTGGTGTCAGCTGGGCTGGAACTGCAGTATCAGAGATAATAATAGCCTTTGAGTGTCATGGTAATGAGTGGGTGGCTTCAAGAGAGAAACCTGCCTCAGGATGGAGAGAGGATGCTGTGTGAGAGTAGGCAATAGGGAGTCCAGAGGGAGAGCAAGGAAAATGCTTGTGGATGTCCCAGGGAAAGGAGAACTTCAGGTCACTGCTTGTGTCAGGTCACTGCTGTTAGGAATGATATCTTGTGTTAAAGTTGGCCTGTCTTTTCAGAGTTAAACACTTGATGACTGAAGAATTTGTCTCTTGTTCTTAGTATTTGGTAATGCCAAATCTGGATTCATACTTAATGACATGTGCACGATGTTCAACTTTGGATTTTTTGTTCTATATCTTTAAAGTACTTGTAAGCCAGTTTGCTTAATATGTGGGAGAGCTACCTGTTAAGAATTATCCTTTACTCCTCCCAGCCTTCCGATGTCTTTCCTAAAGCCTGGTGTTGGCACTGCTGGCTGCCAGGCTTCTGCTCAGGCCAAGTATCCATTAAAACCCAATAACTGCTCCCTCCCCCCAATACTCAGTAAGTTCACTGGTGAATCCAAATCCATAGTCATTAGCTCTGATTTTTCTAATAACAGCGAGCAGACTCATAATATCTTTTATTTCTTGTCAGCTACCTCCTCTTTGGATAGGTTTCTTATGGTGTGGAAGCTGAAGACGCAATGCAGAGCTTACAAATTTGTAGGCCACGTGGAAGCAGTGACCAGCGTACAGTTCTCACCAGATGGGCAGCTACTTGCTTCAGGTTCTCAAGATCGTACTGTCAGGCTATGGATTCCTTGCATGTGAGTATAACTGGGTGATGTTGGCTATGCCTTTCATTAATGTGCAATGTGAATATTGGAGTCTTTACGCAAGAAAAGTTTATCTTTCTTTCCCACGTGCTTGACTGGGCTTTGACAGAAACAGATTGGGAGCACAAGAAACACAATTCTTTACTGTGTTACTTTGTTCTTTACTGAATATTCTGTAGTTTCCAAAGAAAAATACAGCAATTCAGAGGTCATAATTTCATGTGTGTAGGACTATGCTTGGTAGTATTCCTCTGGCTTAAAGGATACATTTATTTTAATAAGGATTGCATGGTTGCACTTAATTTTCAGGAGACAAGTGATGAAGGAAACAAAAATATTAGCATTTTTGGAAAAAGAAGTATTTTGAACTGGCTTTTGTTAGACTGTTCTCAAGTAGTAGTGATTATGAGCTAGAGAGTGATGTTACTTTAACTCTTAAGCATTTAGTAGATTACTGTATCAAAAAATATAGTAAATTCTCTTTCAAATACTGTATGAAGGCTAATGCTGCTGGTTAATTGCACTGTTTTCTAAAATTGGTCATATTAAATACAATTACTTTAAAGTCTGTTATTTTAGAATTTAATATACAAATAAGGCAAAAAATATTGGCAATACTAAGATTTAGCCTGTATATGTTGCTTTTTCATTTGGATAAGATTCCAAAAATGTTAACTTTTGAGTTTTATGGAATTTTAAACTTTTTCAGTTTAATATAATTGTGTTTTGGTATGGTTGGTTTTTTTTCCCCAGTCATGGAGAATCGTCAGTATTAAAAGGTCATACAGCATCTGTTCGTAGCGTGAGCTTCTCGCATGATGGCTACTTTCTAGTTTCAGCATCCAATGATAAATCAATAAAAATATGGAGTGTTCGCCATCAGCGCCTTTTGTTTTCCCTATTTCAACACACTCATTGGGTTCGCTGTGCCAAGTAAGCGTTGTTTTTATTGTCTTTGTAAAGAATCAGAACTCCTAACAAAGGGTTTTTATTTCTCAGGGCAAAACTAAGAGGAGAAAAATCTGTGAATGATAAAAGATAATCTATCACTGATAATAAAATTTTAATAAATAAGTCATACACACAGGCACGTTTTATGTGTATCTCCTAGTTGAAGTCTGAAAGCTTGTTCTGTGTTAATATATGTACATATTAAATCTGTTGCTGGGTGTTAATTCTTTTGCTTTAAAGGACAAATAATGTCTTCTGTATTTATTTTCAGTCAGTATCCTGTCTGTTTCTCCAGTACTGTATGTTTTTGTGCTGCATTAACTTATTTCACAGCATTCACTTGTTTCTAGATTTATTATGCACAGTAGGGGTTTTCTCAATTATTCTTGGAACAGTAGTGGCATAAAAGAATTGTCATGAGTCAAAATGAGTTAAGCTTATGTAACTGGAAAAGGTAAAAGAAATGGCCTTTGTACTGCAAGTTAAGATTCGCACTCTATTTAAAGGCAGGGCAGCTTTTCAAAGGCAAGAAAAGATTGTTCTTTGATTTATTTTTTTTTTTCTTTCCTCCATATTAATGGAAAATCTGCAGCTAAGAGAGGCCTGATTTAAACCTCTTGAGAAAGAAATTTAATACTGGTGAAATGCAAAGCCCTACAAAGTTCCAAAGTATCTAATCATTGAAAAGAAAAATAAAAGCTATAGGAAATCATATGTGGAAGTTCTTGAACAGTGTTCTAATGTCCTTGCATAGTTGTTCAATGTGAGAAATAATAATGATTGGTGAAATTATAGACAAATCAATTTTCCTGTTTAAAAACCTAGTCTGCTAGTCTAGGAATAATCATGAATGTTTTGCTTGACAGTTTGTAAGGCTAGAGAGAACTCACAGGAGAATATATATGTAGGTTAAAATTGAATGCAAGGTTCTACTGTGTCCTTTTTGTCTTTTTGCCTATAGTTTTCTATAATAATCCCTTTGGCATCTGAAGTGACAACCTTAGGCTGCTGTTACCTCCCCTCTCCCCTCTGTCTCTTTCTCTCGCTTATGGCTCTTTTTAGTTGCAGTTGATTGTGAAATGGAGAGGGGAGGAGTGGCGCGAGAAGCTTTTCTTTTCGTTTTTATTACTCCATGAGAAATATGAAAAATTAAAATGTCTGTTGAATGTTACACATCTTAATTCCAAACAGGCTTTTTTCATTTTGGTGTTTTGCTACTTACGTGTCTAATGCTGATTTAGGTAATATCAGTTTTTTAGTAATGTATACACTTGCATGTTCCAGATTTTCACCTGATGGAAGACTAATAGCATCTTGCAGTGAGGATAAATCTGTTAAGATCTGGGATATGAGAAATAAAACTTGTATTGATAGCTTCTTAGATTATGGAGGGTAAGTGTTACTAGAAAAAAGGAGAAATGTAAATGTGTAATTTTAATGAGATTAAATTCATGTTTTGTGGTATTAACATCTATATTTGTTATATCTGAAAATAAATCAAACTTCTACCACCCATGTAAACTAAAATAATTCATTTCACGTTTTTCTAAAGAGGTTAACTGGCTACACTTATCCAGCTGTTTTCCAACAGTCAAGAAATAAGCCAGAGAGAAGTCAGATTGCTCTTGGATTTTTGAACGTTTTCATGTTTTTCTTCCGTTTTGATAATGCTATTTGATATTGTATGCTTCAACAAGAAGAGAAGTTTAAGAATTCTCTGCTTGTTGATGAAAACAGTATTCTGTTAACTTCAGTGACCTGCCTTATTTAGGTTTAGAAAATACTTGCTTTTATTTATCTGCAGTTTTCTTGGACATCTTGGAACCAGAGTTTTAATTAACAAATGCAATGGAATATTAATCTTGTATATGTGCTTTGCTAATTTCATGGCTGCCATCTCTATCCTTTTTCCAAGGTAAAAGGTTGTTATAGCTAAATATTCTGTTCTTAGGCAAAAATATTTCACTTGCTGCTTACAAACTCTTTGCAGCGCTTTCTTCTAGGAACTTTGTACTCTTACACAAACTGTGAAGGTTTGAGTCAGGACAATTATACTATCTTTTTAACAAAAAACAGATTATACAGTCTGATTTATCATGCACATCTTATTTTCTTATGCTTATTTCAGTTGCTTGAAATACCTTATTTGAGTTTCCATACATGTGGATTCCACACAAGTTTGTGGCAGCTCAGTGTTAATATTGTGGGTTTTATATATATATATATCTATCCAAATATTTCTGTGGAAACATGTAATCAATCTATTTTCATTAATTATACTTAGATTTGCAAATTTTGTGGATTTCAACCCAAGTGGTACGTGTATAGCTTCTGCAGGTTCCAATCATACAGTGAAACTGTGGGATATTCGAATGAACAAGCTACTGCAGCATTACAAAGGTAAAAACAATGTACTTAGTTGTATTTTCTTTAGAACTGATCTCTTTGCAATGAAATGTGATTTATTTAGATTATATGATTTTATTCCTTACCGGGGAAAGTGAACAAACAGGTCATATTGGCATTTTGTAAGTAGTCTTTTTGTAGTCTAGCAATCCTAAAAATCCAGTCTGAATCCTGATTATTCCTTTGCAATGCTTCCCTTAATTTTTAGAACAGAACTAAGCAAATTCTCTGGAGAGTCTGCTATGCCCCAGCATTTTGGTTGCTTCTCCCTCAAATGAAGTAGGTTGTTCTTTGGGAAGTAGAAAGGAGCGAAGAAATAAAGTGTACATTTTCTGTTAGTAGATACCTACAATCTTTGAATATTGTCTTCTGTAAATTAGTTCACAGAGCAGGGGTTAATTGTGTATCATTCCATCCTTCTGGTAACTATCTCATCACTGCTTCTACTGATGGTACCCTTAAGATTTTGGACCTCTTAGAAGGAAGACTTATTTACACTCTTCATGGACACAAGGTATACACAATCCTGTTTAAATGGAGATCTTATCTTTTCAAAGGGAAAGTAACATTTATGCCATTGTGTCTTGTACCTTGCAACTTGCAGATAAACCTTAGTGGACGGCAAAGTGTTGTATTAATACACCTTGTCACAAGTGCATAAGGAAATGCACCAATTTTACTTGCGACTATGCGGTTAATCTGTCAATATTGTATGCATGCTTAATGTTAAGTAATTAATAATTCACTCTCTTGATTGTCAAAATCAATTATTTGTCACATTAGTCTTTTTGTCTATTGAAAAACAGTGCTGTCTAAGGAGGGGGAAGCTTATGGAAGATAACTTTTGTGAAGAATGGCAGACATTTTCTCCCTTTCCTCTTAATGCAAAAGAAACCCTACTTTTCATAATGAATCACTCGAACACATTGTCTTGAGTAATGTAATATATATTTGATATTTTTTCACTGCAGAGTTAAAGCATAAAATCTAAGGAAAATGCCACTATTTTCATAGTATTGATTGTAGTAATTGTAATGCAGCATCTTAAAGGTGTGCAATACTAGCTTTTCAATCAAGCTGTTTTGCAAAATTTCACTACAGTTCAATTGTTCCTTATTTTATTAAAATTGAAAAAGTCTATTTATATTAGATAACGGCATAAGTGTTTTTCTCTTTGCATTAAAATACCATGATTACAGTAATAGTGTAATTTTACTGTATGCTAATTATTTTTTTCTTTCAGGGACCTGTACTTTCTGTGGCTTTTTCAAAAGGTGGTGAAAAATTTGCCTCAGGTGGAACTGATGCTCAGGTTTGTGATATTGTCTCTTTAAATTAAACGTCTTAATGTTTGTTACAGTAGATGGGAGTTAAATATAGTACATCACAGTAACACGCTAATTACAGTATGCTGACATACATTCTGTCTAGTAGTGTGTTATATAGACTTTGTTTAGTCTAAAGTTAAATTTGAGGAGAAAAATGATAAATACGTCATTTAAAAACTTGATCTTAACTATTTTCAATCAGATGTTACAATGAGGAGAAGACCATAGTACTAGCCACTTCTGTTTTACACATTAAAATAAAGGAATGATTTTTAAATAGAAATATTTTAAGTGTTGCAGTTCAGTGTCAACAAAGTAGTTGTGTTGCAACTAGTATTAACGCCTACATGCTCCATTATGTTTTTACTTCTTTTAAAGTCACTACTCTGTAAGTGCAAGAATTAAGTTGTACTACTAGGAAAACTTTGGCTAGAATTGGGAAAAAAATTCTTGTGTTAGCTTTGCTAATTTACGCTGGTGAAACAGCACAGTACTGGATTTTGTACAGGGAAGAGTTGTTTGAGCATTAAAACCAAAAATGTTATTTTAAATTAAACAGTAAATCATACAATTAATCTTTATCTGCTGTGATAAATCTCACAATTACAAAAATACTACCAAGCTTGGAATCTTCTCTATCAGGTTGTTACATTCTCCAAAAAGTAAGAACTTCTTTAGCCCAAGGCTTAAAGTTTCACAGTCTGAAATGTTCCTTAATATTAGTTGTCTTTTTCATTGTTTCCTGTTATAAAAAGCTAAAAGCTCAATGTAGACACAGAAAGCCATGGTATAGAAATTAAAATCTTTTTTGAATTTACCATAAATCATGTTTATATGTTTTGTGGATTTTGAAATATGTTTCAGCCAGTAACAGAGACAGTCTTGGAAAATAATAAATACTTTTCAATTGAAAACTTCAGTATCATTAGCAAGAATACAGTCTGTTTCTGGTTTTTACTTGATGCTTCAGGTAGCACACTTTCTAGAATGACTTGAAAGCACTCGAAAAAAATTAAAATTGCTTTTATCAAGGTGTTAGTAAGAAACAGTGCCGAGACTTGCAGTTATTGGAAAAGTGAAAATGTTAGCAAACTTCTAATACTAATTTTACAAGCAGAATAAAAAAAAAACAGGAATGGGGAAAATATATTTATTCCTTGAGCCACTAGTCTAACATTTTATTTTCCATACTAAAGGGTTTTTTATGAGCATTTTTCAGTTCCAAAATGAAACTTTGATTCCCAGGTAATCCTGAATTGTTGATCTTACTTTTCATGAATACTTTCTTTTCAGTTTTATGATGATTGATATATTATACTTGACTTGAGAGGAAGTGAAATGCATGTATTAAACTGGGTCACATGACAGAAGATTCATCAGAGAAACTGTGATGATGGGAAGGACCTACAGTATTAAGCCTAACTCAGCCTCCCAAATAAATGCCAGCATACCCTGGGAATGCCTGTCTTATTGCAAGGTTCCTTTGAATTTGGGGACCTCTGAATGACATGCATGTTCAGTACAGTCATGTCATTGCCTTTCTCCTGCTCTGACTCTATGCTGTAGAGCTGGTGGTGCACGGGATCATGGAGTAAGTAGGTATTATAGTGCACAATCTATAAGATGACTCATGTTTCTCCGCAGTTGGGTATAGTGGTTTCATGCTGAATGCATGAGAGGGAAGATCCAGTGTCATCAGGAAGTGCTTTCTTAGGTAAATGTTGAATTAAAAATGTAGTCATAGTAGGTCTAGTAATGAATCCTGGTTTTATTTACTTACAGAAAGGCATCTATCTGTTGAAGCTTTTCCCTTTTTCTTGTCAATGTTCCTGTGGGAGAGGGCTACTTTGCTGTAACTTTCACTTTTGTATTGTAAGTTTCAAAATGTGCAGTGCTAACCATTGTGTGGTACCTGCCTATGTATATATCTTTATCTATAGTAAACATAAGAACTTATTCCTCAGTGTCCGTTTTCTGTTGGTGGATACACATGTGTACTCCACAAACATCCTTTTCTGCTGACCTGTCCACAGCCCTTTTCCAGGTCTGCCAGGAGAATAGTTGTGGGACCTCTTCTCAACTCACTATGATAGAATTACGTTGGTTTACTGTAAATGTGGGGTGTATTAATATGAAAAGTTCTGCTGGCAGATCGGGAATGTCAAGCTGATGAGCAGAGGTTGGCCATAAAAGTATCATCTTCTATCCCTTGTGCAGTATCAAAAAGATACTGTCTGTCCACAGCATGAGCTGGAGCCAGCTGATCTGTTGTAAATTTACCACGGATTATTTGCTCTATACATACTATTTCAAGACTATTACATTTTCAAGCAAGAGATAAAATCTGGTTTTCTTCTATCAAAGAAGGAAAACCAGTATCTTTGCTTCTAGTTTCAAGTTTCTTTCTGTTTGGTGCAGAGCCAGCTGAAAGCTTTGCTCAGAAGCACATTAAATATTTGAAACAAACACTGGATACTTCTTTTGTTTCTTCTTGTTTTCTTTCCTCAATCAAAAAAACCCGAACATGTAGAGTTCTGAAGTTCATGTTCTTCACACTTCTTGGCTATATGGTCACGTGACAAATTATTTCATTTACCTGCTTCCATGGAAGATACAAGACCTTTTAGTTTAATTTTAAATGAAAGAGCAAAGTTATACCTATTTCTTTAGATGGTAGTAGCCTGTGTTTTTAATTCAGTTCTTACCATATAGAAGAGACAACTCATTGGGTCTAGTGACTGCCTGGATGTAAAGGGAAATACTTACTTATGGAATAACTATTTTTCTAGGGTTGTGCATAGTTGCTTTTACACTGTTTGCATTGCAGTTGAGATACTCAAAGCATATATGGATGTTTCGACGCTGGTTTTACTAGCTTTGTTATCTGTAATGGTAAAGCTGCAGTGGCATGGCCTTCCACTTCAGAGCAAAATGAAACATATTTAGAGCTTGAGCAGCTCAAATGTTTACCACTGATGAAAGGTCCTGCTTCTGCTGCCTCCTGCCTATACCCTCATTTACACTCCGTGCTGAGACAGTTCAAATTGCTAAACCAGCAGAAAATTAGGCTGAAAAAACGGGGAAAAGCCACATAAAAAATGTGAATAACTTTGTGCTGGATTGGGTGACGGAGGTAGTGGAACTACACAACTGAGAAGAGGAGGGAGAGAAAGCAGGCCCTCCCTCTTACGGCACAGTGAGCTGCTGTGAATCAACTAATCTAACACCTAGATGTCCTGCAAGTGCCAGGTTCTGAGGAAGGTTTATGTAGTTTGTACCAAGATCAATGCATCCCACTTTCACTGTTTCTAATGTCTGAGTTAGTTTGGGTCCATCTTTATTGTTTCCCAGTGCATATTTAGGGTCTTCCACTCCACAGAGTCATGAAAGATGTTGAACCTGAAATGAACTTGTAACAATGCAGCTACTTAGGAATATAGTAAAAATATGATTTAGTCTGCTTGGAATTTCTCTGAACAAATCTGTGATTTGTGCTGCTTATGTATAGTTTATTAATTTCTGAAAAATACTTTTAATAGTTGTTAAAAATATTTTTTGGCTGGACAGGCAAATAATTTTAAGTCAGATCACGGTCCCATCTTTGTTTCCTCTGATCTAGGGAGCAGCTATAAAAAAAATCAACATCGGACTTTTGGAAACTGCAATCTTCTAACTGTTATGAACTTTCTTTTTTGTTTTCTTTTTTCCCTTAGCACTTAAAGTAACAAAGATGACACAAATCATGTAAACTTATGGTAAACTTAATTAAATTGCTTACATATACAATTGTTTTGTGACACGAGAGAGCAACATTGTGCGTTATGATTTGGTTTCCTGGTCTATCCATAAGGCTGGATAGACTACCTTCTGCTATCTTACCTCTGCATTCTACTACCTTATTTCTGCATTTGGCCATGGTGTAACTGTTGTATATTGTTTCTACCTTGAATGTGATTGGACAAGGTTCAGAAAACAGATTCCTGTTGCTAAAACACTGGAACCAGATGCTTCAGAGTTCTGGGGAACTCTGTCATTTCTCTCATCCCCTCAAACTTTCTTGTTTGACCTGCAAGCCATTATAGGGGACAGAAATTTGATAGTATATGACCCCTTGATGTGGCAGAAAAATAACTTAGTACAGTCCAGTGGGACAGAAGTTTGCTTTGGTTTATGATTATTGAGACATCTTTTAGAGATTTTTTTTTTTTTTTTTAATAGTTTAAACCACATCTATTAAAATTAAAGACAAAAATCTTTGGAGAAGTGGCCTGTGTTATAGTAGAGATCAGACTAAGTGATGACAGCATGCTAAAACACTGGAACCAGATGCTTCAGAGTTCTGGGGAACTCTGTCATTTCTCTCATCCCCTCAAACTTTCTTGTTTGACCTGCAAGCCATTATAGGGGACAGAAATTTGATAGTATATGACCCCTTGATGTGGCAGAAAAATAACTTAGTACAGTCCAGTGGGACAGAAGTTTGCTTTGGTTTATGATTATTGAGACATCTTTTAGGGATTTTTTTTTTTTTTTTAATAGATTGAACCACATCTATTAGAATTGAAGTACAAGATACTCTGGAGAAGTGCCTGTGTTATAGTAGAGATCAGACTAAGTGATGACAGCAGGCTCATTCTGATGTCATGATCTTTTAGTAATAACAGACTTCACTGAATAGTTATGTTTTGGGCACAGAATAGGCTTCAAGTAGTTACTGATATTCTGATATTCTTACAGGTATTACTGTGGAAAACCAACTTTGATTCATTTGATTATAAAGAAGTTCTTAAACACCATATTAGAAGAACACGTATTGATGATCCTCCTCATCTTCTTGATATTTACCCGAGGTCACCTCATCTCCATGATGAAAAACTTCAGTCAGTTGAGGTGAGTACAATAAGTATTCTAATATAAGAAACTAGAAGCTTTTGTAAATACTATCCATCTAGCATTTATAGCTAAATGTTCTGTTCTATGTATACCAGAGAACTCTTTGTTGTTATGTATAATACTTTGGAAGCAACCATAACTTATGAATCCACATTAAGGTCACTAGGCTAGCTGATGCTGTCAAATTTATCCTGGTGAATTACTTTAATGTTTCTTGTGTAACTCTGTACTCTACACCTGATTTAAACAAAATATAGGTGATAGTCTGGTTTCTGAAGTAAGATGGCAACTGTTGCAGAAGATATCTGAATCTTCAGTGAGCTTTAGGATACTACTCAAAATACATCATTATAAGGAGGACAAGATGGTATTATTACTGAAAGTCAAATACTTGATTGTCACAAGTTGTCCCTCTTTCCAAGACCTTTAGGTATTGTGAGAAGATCTTGATATCTATCTAAAAGTTTAGAAAGCCTTTCTAGGCTAGTAGTGTGTTTTATGTCACTATGTAGTCTAATTTCCTGATAATTTCATTCTTCAGCTACTTTACTGTCCAACCTTCTACCAGCAACCCTTGGAAGTACTGGGAATTAGGCAACCAAAGTCACCAATACTATGTCAGTATTTGGAAAATCTTGTGTTTGTCAGGTTGTCTGATAGCTATGCTAAATAGGTAAACAGTACTATGCATTAGACAAGACCATTGTTTGTGCTAAAACCCCAGGGACATATTTGTGATTGTCCTTGGTAGATCTGGCTAGCATCTGCATGGTGATTACCTGTACTTTTATCTCTTCCTCCAGGTGCCTCTAGTGTCCAAGAGCTGTATCTGATATAAATCTGGAACTTTTTGGCTGCTGTGATATACTAAGAGAGTACTATAGAAATTCACCATTGCCTGTTTTTGTTCATATAAAATGCAGATACTGCTGCCATGACATTTGTTACCTGCTCAGACTTTTAAAACATTGAGATTTGATGATATTGAGCTTTTTTTGTGTGTGTATGTGTATGTGTGTATGCAATATGAATATATGCTATATGAATAGTATAAAGATTGAAAATATTTTGGTGGAGGAGGGGAACCCTGAATCCATCACTAAGTATTCTCATCTGTCTGGTTCTGTTGTCAAGTTGGCTGTGAAGCTTTCTGATGCTTAGCATTTTGGTCAGAACAAGAGCAGGACAACTGCATGTATGACAAGCTTCATAAATAAACTTCTGTGCCAGACTGTCGTATTCATTGTAAGATCAATGAATGAAGTTAAGTTTACTGGTAGCAGCCTTCAGTATAGGTGGTCAGTGCTAGAACAAACTCAATCACAGCATTTGCCAGCAGATTTAAACCACCCTTGCTGCATCAACAGTTTGCTTCAAGACCTATTCGAATTGCAGTTATAACACGTGATAAACAAACACAGAAGCTTATAGCTGGAGAGTTCAGTTGCTTTCTTTTCAGGTCAACTTTTCCAGACCTCTGCTGCTCAGATGCCTGGCAAAGGTATGAATATTCTCTAAAGCAACTTTCCAGATTTTTTTTTTTTTTTTTCATCCCTGATCCAAGATAATTGAGAAGCTCTTGAAAGGCATTAATGAGTTCAGGCTAAAGTTAAACTAAGGCTAGGAAGCACCTCATTACCAATACTGAAAGGTCACATAAAGGAAATTTGATAGTTGAATGTCAAGAAATTATTTATCAGTTAGCTTTGACAGATTTCACTTAACCTAATGTCTGTATTTCTTCATGGCTGTAACATTTGTAGCGGCTTATAGGCTTCTAGGTTAGCTACTCTGTAGTAGTGAAAGGGCTCTGTGGCTTTGTCATTTGTCGTAGCAAAATTTTGGACTCTTGTGATGTATTTTCTGGCCTGATTTCAGGATTTTAAGAATAAGGTTGCTGTGTTTACTTTTCTATTAACATCACATTATCTGTAGGATATCTTGCTCTCAAACAAACATGAAGTATTTTATATTCTTTGAGACAGAACAGTGTCTGATAGTTTCAACAGAACCAATATTACTGTAATGTACTATATTTTTATATTTGTAAATTAAATAATGTAATAATAATGATTAGGATCTCTTTTGCAGCTTATTTTCAGAATTAATGTAATAATATAATAGTTTAGACAGTGTTAAAGTGAAGTTATCAAGATTTGTTACTCCACACGTCTTTTCCTTTTTTTTACTGCCCTTCCTGTCTGTCTCAACAAAAATTATGGGGTTTTTTGTTGTGGCGAGGAAGAATGGACCTCACCATCTGTACAGAGACATAATTTATCCAGACAAAACTAGTATCAGGTTACTACCAGAAGTAACGTGCTTTAATGGCACTAAGGATGCCTGAAATGTTTAAGTGTTCCATCTTCTTAACTATTTCCTCCTGTAACTCAAAAAAAGCAGCATTTCTAGCCCCACTTGTGCTATGCTGTACCCTGGAGAAGGAATAAAGAAGAAAAAGATTTTTTGTCCCTTTTCAGTTAAAACAAACATACTTTTTTTTAACATCCCAACCCCTTTCTAAGCAACAGGCAATAGAGAGAATTTTAGCACTAAGCAGTTCCACTGCAACACCACCCTCATCTTCCTCTGGCTCATCATGTTTTAATATACCAGGGAAAGGAGGAGTTGAATCACAGACATGTCAGAGGGAGCTTTTGGAGGTCATCTAGTCTTGTTGCCAATGGTACATAAAGTCAGCCATGGCTGTGTCTAGTTAGGAGGCCTTGAAGAGGGATGGAGATTCCCTTGTGTCTCTGGGTGACCTATTCCACTACAACGCGGCAGTTGTAAGGACACAGTTTTTCCTAGTGTCTCATCTGCACCTCAGATAAAATGCAGAACTGCTTGCTTTCTGTTTGTTTTCTTTTTCATGAGGAACAGGGGAAGGTGATTGATTTTAACTAAACTGAAGTAACAGTATTTTAAGAGACTTGGTAACATACACAAGAGTTACAGGCAGGCCGAGGAGGCAGTTCAAATATGGGATATTTAAAAGTATAGATGACCTTTTAAGGTTTGCTACAAGCTACTACAATGTCATCTGGACACTTGAGATGTGTTATAATACATTGCCCTGAGTTATGCTGGGCTGGTTAAGTTTAGTCAGCTCTATAGGAGGAATGAGATTACCTTAGGATAAAATTCAAAGTGTTAGAACACAAAAAGTTCAACAGATGTACAGGTAGAACTCAAAAGAGAAGTAATTCTGTCCATGTTTTTTTAATTTCTAATGTTTCATGCCTCTCCAGGTTTCTTACTGCTTTTGGATAGTTGTTGCTTCTCTGTCCCTGCTTGCCTCAATGTGGCAAGGTCCCTGCTATTCCAGAACTTGATTCTGGGAAAATAGTACACACAAAATGGAGCTGGCTTTGCTCAGAATTTATTCAGCTGGGTTCAGAGAGACAGTTGTAGTGTTTTCACTATTTGGAAATGCTCTTTTGAACAAAACGGCTTGCACAAGGGCATTAAGAATTGCAGGTATCACCTGGTATTTCGCCTTCAGGATAGTGACTGTAACATGGAGCTTGAGTGTACTTTCACCTTTTCTCAGAACTTTTCCTTATTGACTCTTTGAAGCCATACACAGAGCCAGTAATATTTAAGATACCTTCTCTAGTTTTTTCTCTCTCCCTGCCTACTTTCTGAAGCATAATTAACTTTTACAAGAAATTCCTTATTTGTATCTCCTCCTCTTCAGCCCAGCAGTAGCCTGAATTTTAACGCAGTGTTGGATTTCATGTTCTTGACTTATAAATCTTTACAATGGTTCTCCAACTGCACTAATCAATGTGATTCTTGAATATTCAAGTACGTAGAGGTTTAAAGCCTATATTCATTACGGTTATGCAGACAATTTGAAAATATAAGTAAATGACTTGTTGTCTGAAGGCACCTACTTTTTTCCATTGACCATAGAGGTAATCTTGAGTGACCAGGTCAAATACAGGTGTGCAGCAGTATATGTAAATTTAGCTGAGAAAAATCCCAGTCATGTCTTTGAAATAAGGAGCTTTTGAAGATATTTGAAAATAGTATGTTTAATCAGTAATGCAGTTTTAGTGCAATACACTAAAAGAAATGCATTCCACTTGGTGACAGTTGTATTTCTGAATTTCCTGTGTTTGTACCTAATTAATCTTTGATATACTAGAGACCTCTTCAAAGCAGATGGAAGGTAGAAATAAGTTTCCTTTAAAAACATACCATTCAGGTTTGACCATATTAAGATGTATAGAGTTTATATCTTGAGTGTGAAAAGCTACTGTTTATTTAGTTTCATCTTAAAAGTTTCAGTGTAAGTTCAGTTGTAAATATTTTCTTGGGTGAAGGAAATCCAAAAATACACTAGGTGGCAGTAGAAATAAGAATATATGGCTTGTTTGGCTTGAGGGTTCCAGTCTAGCACAAAGAACAGTGTTTAATCAAATTGAAAGCTGAATTTCTTTTGGTATGTTTGGAGAGACTATTTCACAGCTAGCTACATCAGTTCCCTAGGAAATAGTGTTGTGTGAGTCGTTTAAAACTTCCTTTTTTTATTAATTTTTAGTTTTTTGATGTAGCACCAATGTCTTATGAAATGCATTATAAAAATAAAGTGAAAGGTGGATTTTTTTGAGATTGGTTATATTTCATTAAAATCAACAGAGGGATATCTGCAGGGGCTTAATCTTTTACTTAAAGCATATGGCTGAGAATTGCATACTTAGTTCAGCCTGCTTCTGTTGTTCCTCCCCTAGTTTTCTGTCCTAAGCAGTGATCCTAATTCCTGCCTCTTACTTTCTTTACGTAATACATTTTGGTTTCACTCCACTTCAGTCTTTAGAAATCTGTAATTCCTTACATGAAAGGTTTTCTAGAAACCCTCCTTCAACTATATTTTCTTGTGCTATGGATCAAAATGTGATAATTGTATCATCGTATTGGAAGAAGATAATGAAAATGCTTACATATCAGTTTACCAGGTAATTAAAGGAAAGCTTTGGAATAGTGTTTTTGAAAACCTTTCATACATGACTGTTCTCTCTACCTTGCTTTTTATTGTTCTGTTCTTTCTTGTTTTTTAAAGTTAAGTTTTTCCAAATATGTTTGTTGATGTTATTTGACAGCTAACGATATCACCTTGTCAGAAAATGTCATTTGAAACTTTTAGACTTAGCTTCATTCCATTAGCTCATTATTTTTTAGTATAATATTAAACATGAATATTTGCAAGAAGGGTTTAGCTACAGCCTTCATGTTTTTGTGCTCTTTTCTTTAGACACTTTGCTATTTCTGACTTGTTGCTTAACAATTTTACATATCTATATTAGATATATATTTTAATATGGCCTATGACAGTTCCTGCACCCCTAGTCAGTGTTTGCAATGCCCCTCATCCTCCCCTTATCTCTGATAAAGCAGTAAACAGAATTATGTGCAGAGGAGACTCGTTCCAGCTCCAGGACATGACACTTCCACGTAAAGAGCACGTTTTCTTAACTTAATCATACCATGTATTTATTTAGCAACCCTGTATCAAGAAAAGCATTTAACTCCTTGTACAGTATCTCTGATGTATATAGCAAGGACATATTATCTGAAAGAAGATGTTTGAAGAATTATTAGTAATAATACTACGGTAGCTCCTCTATATTATTGATAGGTGATAGGCACCTGCTGTCCCTCTTCTGTAGAGTCCTGCAGGTGCATTGTCCTCTCTTTTCAGTGCTCAGATGATGCATGTCAGAAAGACTTTAGGCTTAGCTGCCCATAGTATGATTGGCACTCAGATAATATGTTAATTATATTTATTACAGGACTGACTGAAGGTCAAAGGTCAAATGACCCTGGTTATGTTGGGCACTAAACAAATGTAAACTCTTTAGGACAGTTGTCTGTTTCATCTAAATAGACAGGGTATGTACAGAGGGGGGAAAAAATAAAATTTGGAGTTCCCCTCTTCCTCAACTTACCTCTGATAAAGTGGTAAGCAATACTATATGCAGAGGAGACTTTCGTTAGTCATGTTTCTGTAGAAAGGAAAGTAAAGGAGAAGTCCAATTAAGATGGTAGAACTTTCAGATAAATGGGAAGTTTTTACTTAGACCATGTCACCTGGCTTTGGTTCTCCTTTTTCCCTCTCTTTCCTCCAAGTCCATTTGACAAAATTGGAAGAAAGCAAGACTTGATCCTAATATCAACAAATTGAGGGAGAATTTTAAGTTATCAGCTCTGATGGCCCCTGTAGCAGGATGGGTTTTCCTGATTGTCTCCGAGTAGCTCATTCTCGATTGATGCAACTATAATATGAATTAAAAGAGAGAATACCTACAAAAAAGAGCTCATGGATGGAGAATGGCTTCTTGAAACTGAATCCAAGAAAGAGCTAAGCACTGCTAGTCAGAAAGGTGAACTAGCTTAAAAACAGAATTAAGATCTCCCCTTAAGGAAAGCTTGTCATCTCTGATTTGTAAGTGCAGCAAAGTGTGAGGATCACTTTCAGCTTGAATAATCAGGTAGCATCTGTATTTAAATGTCTTTTTACCTCCTAGCTTGCTAGTAAACTTTGTTCATCTTCTTCCTCCCCCCCTCCACCCACGTTTACGAAGGAAGTTCTTACTTTTATTAGTTTTAACCTGAATTTCTGCATGTAAGTTATGGAAATCCAAATGAACTGAATGAAAAGGCTTCAAGCAGTACAAGATGCTATTGCCTGCCTTCCCTGGCTACTAATTCCAGTTTTAAGATCTCATTCTAGCTACTTGACAAATGGATCTCTGACCTAAAAGTCTATATGCTAATGTATGGACCCTAGCATGAGGGATTTTTCCTTGTGAAAATAGCACTGAAGCTGTTACTGAGTGAGCAGCTCTGACTAAGCCAGAGTTTTGACAGTCTTCAGGTGAAATGGTAGGCTCTTTCTCCTTGAAACAGCAAAATAAAATGACCCCTGTATCTAATAAACTTTCAGCAACTAAAATATAACTCTGTTAGTAGGCAAGTGTGAGTTTTGGGGGTTTTCTTTGTTTTTTTCTACTTTCAAGTAAGATTGTTAGAATTAATGCTGTCTCTGACAAGGCCGCTGTTGGATTACTGATAAGTTGAGAAGAGGAAAGTTAATTTCTTTTTCCTACACCAGACTTCTTGGTGATTTGAAAGTCATCTAGTCTTTCTGTGGATTTTGTCAGTTCACAAAATAAGAATAGCATTTCCATACATCACACTGAGAGGGCAAACGTATTAGGCTGTGATACACCTAGATAATACAATGGTAGGGAAAATACACACATAGTTTTTATAGGCAGGATATTCTGATCCATAGGTGAAACGATAAGCAGCAGCTTTCTCAAACTTTATTTTCTGTTATATTTTGTTAATGCTTCACTTTCAGGAAAGGACATTAGCAAAATATTGCTGAAGTTATAGATTAACTCCTATAACCAACAATAAACGAGTAGTCCAACTGTGATATTAAGACATCAAAATCATGGATGTTGTGATGACATATCCAATCAGTCAGCCTCTGACATTATCCCAGTATAAAGCAGTTTTTCCTGTGGTTTTAGGAACAGCATGGTTTGTGTTTGGCTGGTTAACTTATCACAGATTTCAGTGTTACCTCCTACCTGTTTTCCACAGCAGTGTTTTTCAAGTTATTTTGACAATCAGAGTTGGCATGTAAGAAGCAAGCATGTCGACAGTCTGTCTGGTTGGTTGCGACAGATGATTTGAGGAACTTGAGTGTGAGCTGGGAACTGATTGATCTGGGCTGCTAAGTGTGTGCTCACTTTCAGCTTTGGTGCTAGTGATGTGCCCACATCAGTAAGGCAGCTTGGGCTTAGCGACTGGCTTGGCGCACACCTTCCTATGCATTGCTGAGCCAGAGTGGCTTAACCACATTGATCCTAGCTCAAGCTGAATGGTAGTGGGACTTACAAGCTGCAGTATGAGACTGTGAGTGAGGATGTCCCCTAAGTAAACTACAACAGGCAGGGGACCAGTGTAACATCAAAAACGGAGTGCTGCATAGTTGTGTATGGAAACCTTCACAAGTGGAGGGCTACTGCTGTCCTTGGACTGTAACAAGCAAATTGAGCATCATTGCTAGAAGGCAGCTCTCAAGTCCAGAGTTGTCCAGGGTTGTACATCACTTCTGCTGGAGACAGTTCTCCTGGTGGAAGGAGGAATAGGAAGGATTGCCTACAAATGCACCCGCAAGTGATTGACGCTGGAAAGTAAAACTCAAAGGTGACTTTCAGAAGCCCTTATAGTTGTGCACATGCAAAAACTTTCAAAAGCACCTGTAAGTGACAGTTGCAGAGTTGGGAAGTTGTTTGAATACTTCCTCCTGTTCAGTATTTCAGCAGCATCATTGGCCACTCTGTTAATTGCATGGCTTCAGCCTTGGGCAGGTTTTGAGTTAGCTGTTTTAGTAAATCCATTTCAAACTAGCATTTGTAACTTCATTTTTATTGATATGTCATTTAATTGAACTTCTTAATACTTGTACCTCTTGTGGTAGGAATCCCTTGAGTTAGTTTTGTGTTATGGATGTTTATGAATTATAAATTATATTTCCGTAATAAATGCCTATCTGGATTCTCTTTCTGTATTATGCGATTGCATTTTTCATGGTTGGAGGGTAACATCCTTCCTTCATATTTACAAATTTTAAAGCCTATTTCCAGTCCTTAGTGAATAGTGATGCCTTAATGTAGCAAATGGTCCTTTTTATTTCAGTCTTATTTCCCTTTCTCTACTGGTGCTGAAATAATAATATTATAATTCATTTTCAACAGGTCAACCCTACCTTTGATGTGACTAATACACAAACGCTTGACCCACCTGTCATAGAGATTAGTTCCTCTTCATCTTTCAGTACTCCAGTAAGTTGCCTTCTGAGGGGGGCAGGGGAGAATGGGGCGGGGGGGAAGATAGGGTATAGCTAACCCTGATAGGTTATCAGAAATGTACTTTTTCTGTCTGTATCAATGAAATATATTTTTTTTAACAATTGTTGACTGCTCAGAGCTCAATATCCTAACTTCTCTACTTAAGCTTTCTTTCACAGTTCCCAAGGCTAACCAGAAGATGGTGTAATAGCAAAGCTTTCACGTTATACTAGTAATTTTACCCATATATTAGGCAGAAATTCTAATTATAAGCCCATGCTAATTATATCTAAATATTACTGTTAAAATTTGTGGCTTATTCTCAAACACTTTTTGTAACTCTGTCTTTATCTGCAAATAACGGGTAACCTAAAGAATAGTTGCCTCATTGATAAAATTCCAAAAGTGATGTTTTAGTTTTTCTCCTTTTAAGGCATCTAGTAGTCCTCTAGGAGAAAAAAAAAATGTAACACATTTTAAGACAGAATCATAGGATTAGATCCTTCTAGTGTTAGCTTTTCATATGACATTGGTATGGCATGTGGGAGGAGAGAAAGGCAATGTTTTAACGGTAGTTTCGTAGGAGGAGAAATATGCTCTCCTGGTATGAAATCTAAAAGACATACTGTTCTAGAATTAGGTTAAAAAGAGAATTTCTCTTTTAGCTCTGAATCTGTTCCTGTGAAGGCAGAAATTGTATCTTGAGCAATTTTAGTTACCATAACAAGAGTTTCTGTGGCTGAAGTGTTTATACATATGAATAGACAGCCAGTGTGGTTTCTGCTGTTCTATTTTGTCATGAATGCTTTATGAAAAGGTATGTTGTGAAGGTCCTTTGTAAAATTCTTTAAGATCATTTATTGAAGGTCATGATACAGAGGTTGATGTCTAAGAGAAACCTTTTCTTCAAAACAAATAATCATATAATAACTTTTGTTTGAGAGACAATAATTTCATATATTTTAAGGTTTAGCAGTTGTGTTTTCACAATGGAAATATGATTCTTTAAGATAACTTCTGTCAAAAGTAATTTGCAGACTTATGGAAATCTCTTTATAGTAGGCTTGACAGATAGTGGATTGTGGTGGATATAATTTATTGGCTACGTATCACTTTACTCTGTGTTCATTACTTTCTGATCTTAATAGCAATCACAGAATTCAAATGTATGGTTACACTGTAATTCTTTTTACATACCTATAAATCTGCTAATCATTTCATCTCCTTCATTAATTCTTCTGGTATGAGATCAGTTTATAACACTTTACACCCAGAACTCATAATAGGAATAAGTTGACCCCCTAGAGACAGCATTCTTTTGATTGCTGGCTGGCTTCACAGTCTTCATTACAAAAATGTTGCTTCAAAATTCATGCCTTTTGACTGTGTCAGTAATCACTACTTTTTTTTTCATCACCTTGATCTCCTGTTCACCATTGATTCTCACTTGCATTCACCATGTGCACCTTTTTTTGATCTAGCAACATTTCTGTATCCTTGTTACTCGGACTACAGCCTTAAGGACAACTGCTCTGTCCAACACACCACTGTTGACACAAATCCAGAAACCCTTTGCATGTTTTCTCTGCCACTAGCATCCTTCCTCACCTATAGTAAGTAACACTTTCCCCAACTTTGCCAACCTCTCTGGTCCTCCCTACTTTCTAATGTCAACTCATCTTTTAGTGGCTTCATCCTGTCTAGTGTCTGTCTGCTGCATTACCAGCTTCTGTTGTTTGTGGAATTATCACCTGCTTCTTAATCAGGCCAGCCATCCAGTCTCTTTGTGTCTTGTTTCCAAAGGGTTCTGGATCTCAGTGACCTGGACCTTTTCACCTGAAGCTGGCTCAATTTCCCTAATGTATTAGAGGCCCTGTATAGAGAAGCTTCATGTGTTCTTCATAAAAATCAAAGGGGGAAGGGCAGATGCTTGATTTCTTTCCATTCCACCTTCTGCCAGATTTCCTCTTGATACTGTTTGTCCTCACTTGAATGATACTGTGTTTGTGCATTATTTGTGTATTTTTTTTTTAAATCCTCCTCTAACTTGAGATTACCAGCCTCTAGTCTAAATCATTCTCTTCCCCCACCCCTTTCCCTGATTCCAGTCCCCCTGGGTTGCTCTTTTTCTACCAGTTATCAAAGACAATATCACTGTACGCTTTTTTTTTCTTTCCCTGCAAACTTGTCAAGACCCATCTTAAAGCTGCTTATGGCTTTTTGGTCCTACTTCTACTGGAAGAATGCTGTTCAAATGAGTAAAATCTTTGATCAGGTTGCCAGGTTAATTTATAAATGTCCTGTCTATACCTACTTATTCTTTTTGAAGTGTTTTGCTCCAGCTTAAGCAGTTCTTCTGCCCTTCTGATATGTGTACAGAGAAAAATGCACTCTGTGCTTGCCTATCTTTAAGAGTTCTTGTTCAGTTTCTTTATCATGCATGTAACACAGCAGGTCCCTAGGGTTTATTTACAAAACATGTTGGCAAGTTCCTGGACCACTGGAAGTAGCTAATCAACATATTTACTTTATTTTTTCTTCTGAAGAAGAGAGATGCAGCCTTTCTTGGATCACCATCTCAAGTATTTAAAGACCGGCTTCTCTGGGACAAGCAACAACATTGAAACTTTTGTAGGATCTGTGATGAGTTCTCTAAAGCTCCCTGAAATATCTTCAGTTGTCTATATAAAACCTCATGTTTTGTTGAATGGCTATCAAAATTCCTAACAGTAAGCGGGCAAACTCCCATAGATCTCAAGCTACTCCAGGAAACAGTAGAAAGTGAAAAGTAGAAAGAATCTCTTCTTCAGTTATTGGAACTGTGTCCTGTCCTACTGGTCATAGGAAATATGCTATTACTGCCCCTAAGGTGACTTGTGGAAGAGCAAAAAGGTATTCCTTTTCTTGCTTTCTGTAAAGATTTGTTAATAAAAACCATAGAGCAGTATAGGTTGAGAGGAATGTCTGGAGTCATTTCATCTAACCTCCCCCTTAAAGTAAGACCAACTTGGATGAGGTTCCTAAAAGCCTTGTCCAGTTCATTTGTTAATACATATAAGGATGTAGATTCCACGACCTCTCTGGGCAGCTTGCTCTAGTGTTTGACTAGTGAATTTTTTTTTTTTTTTTCATAATATGTAGCTAGACTTTCCTATGTTCCAACATGTCTGTTGCCTCTAATTCTATCATAGTCGTCCTCTAATAAAGTGTCTGGCTCTGTCTTCTCTCTGTCCACTCATTAGATATTTGACACGGCAGTAAGATTTCCCCTTTATCCTTCCTTCTTAAGGCTGAACAAACCCGGTTCTCTGCCTTTTCTTGTATATCATGTATTCCAGCCCCCTCACCATCTTGCTCGCCCTCCGCTGGACTTGCTCCAGGATGTCAATGTCTGTCTTGTATTGAGAAGCCCAAAACAGGACACAAAACTCCAGCTAATTAAGGTGCAGCTAAGTATCACTGTTATCTATTCTTGACAACAGACTGCCTGGAGAAGATTTGAAAAACAAATATTTAAAAATTTAAACCTCTTGATTCTTTATTGTGAATTTAAAATACGTGTTTAGATATTTTCTTAGCAATTAATTTATATTTTGAGCTTTATCTCTATGAGGAAATACTGGCATTATCTCTTCCTCCCACTCCTCCTCTTCTTTTCAAGGAATTTTAATTTGTTGCTTCATCAAAGCCAACAATCCATAACAACTTCTACACTGAAAATGCCTACTTATGTGGGTTTTTAAAATTTACTTGTATTTTCTTCCATCAAAGATTAAGCCAAGATATGCAGGTATGAATGTTCTTGTAAGGATTTTGCTAGAAAACACTTAAATTAAAAATTAAAAGTCTCTGAACTCTAAACACCTTATCTTTTCAGCTTGTGTTCTGACTTAAAGCTGTAAGGCCAGTTCTTTTTGAACACGGTGAAAAACCTGTTTTCGTCTAAGATTCACTCTGATGCAACTTCCTTTGTAAACTTAGTGAAGGGAACGTCGTCATTGTGTTGGCAGAAAAACTTCAGTGTAATCTTCAGTATGGCGCTGCTTTCTTTTGGACTATAATTACAAAAACACTAAGAATTCCTGTCTGTGTATTATTATTGTCAGGAAAATAGCTTTGAATTTGATGAGTCATTTATTCAGTTCTCCTGTGTGTTACTGAATCAAGTATAAAAACAAGCTATATGTGCTTAACTAACTGGTATTTGCTAATGCCCTGACTTTTCCAATGGTAAGAGCCTTCATATGTTGCAGTTATTAAAAATGAGGTGTGTTTTAGCCTTTTACACTCTGAAAATGTTCACTGAATTAGGGTCAAGTTTTGGGGGCTGGGGGTGGTATTTCTTCCTACTTTCTATCTCATTGAAGACTCTGAAAGCATTACTGCCTCTCTCCCACCCCTTCTTCTCCATGTGTCAAGCAGCTTAATATTGCCTTTGTTTTCTGAACTATTGAACAGGAAAAATTGGAAGTCTTGTTTCCCTTTGAGACTATTTCTTCCTGTTTCATCCTCTGATTTTACTTTTAGTTTTGAGGGAGGTTGGGTTTTTTCAAGTCTGTAAGGCAATACATCGGTAACCTCCCGTCCCTGATAAGCTGTTCGGAACAAGGGAAAGTTGATGATGTCTCGGTAGTTTTTACTGACAGCAGCAGGAAATCACTGTAGAGGCTCTCTAATGTTCCATCCCCTGACCTTGCTCATGTAAACAGGATTTGGAGGAAGTAAAGCAATGTACTGTAATCTGGAAGTCAGAATGTCTGCGCTGGCTGAGAGATGTTTGCTGTTCTTTCTCTCCCAGTGCTAGTTAACACTGAAAACAAGACACGTTTATTGTTCATTTACAGTACAATTTCTACAAAATTAAGACTGGATTAATTATTGGAAGGGGAAAGATAAGGATTGTTCCTGTTTAGAGCAAAAGGAATGTACTATGTTTTAAAATAGAAAGTGACCAAATAACTTCCACCCCCCCACACCTTGTAAAATATGTGAAA